TTGGCCCCTTGATTTTACGTTATTACATCATGTTCTACTCACCCATATTAGTTTGTGTCGTTTGGAGCTGAAGATTTTAAGTTAGGTTATATCCAACTAACGTCTTCCTATGGGCAAAATACTTGAAGACACAAACTAAACTGTCCATAGTTTATTCTTTATGGTACGCAAGCATTCACAACATGTTGGCGAATCACTGTCCCCAAGACATCCGCAGTTATATTTTTTAGATTTTGATTTTTTTAAAACAAAGCAGAATGTGTATGACGTCATGCGTGCGACGGACTGGAGTCATAACAGGCACCCCTTCTATTCATTCAGCTAGCTAATCTGAATAGTTCAGTTCCATTTCCAGAGTGAGATCCTCTGTGGTAGTAGCACTAGACATTCATAAGTCAATGAATCTGTGTAAACTCTTTAAATAACACTTCATAACTTGTATGTATTAAATAACCAGGAGACATGACAACAGAGTCTGATAGAAATTGTAATCTTACTCAGATTAAAGAAGTTGCTTGGAATATGCAGATGGCAGCTGCTCACCTCTGGGCTAACTATCAGGAAAAAGGCATTTTATACATCTCCAGTCTGCCAAATCATCACATTTTACACGTTAGCAGATAATTAGACATTCATGGATCCAGCCTTATCAAAATATTACACTTCGTTCTTAGCTGAAGGACACTGCTCTCATTCCATTTCCAAATATTTGCCACATACAGAATGAAGATTATAACTATATATCCAGACAGAGAAACTGTCCTAATTAGATTAAAACATCAGTTCTGATGCGCAACAGGCAGCCCACACCAGGGTGTAATAAACTCACACATCTTCAATGATAATTATCCTAACACTCTCTAATCATGTGTTTAACTCCTTTTTTTTCCCATTTTGGGGAAAATCTATCTGAAGCAGAGCCTGTTTGGTTGAGGAAAAGTTCCTGTTGTTACATGATTCATATTTACAATAATTTCATGAACTCTCTGGTGTTTCCAGGTAATTATCAGCTGATTGTTCCACCTGAACCAATCATAGCGGCTCCTGGAGATGATGTCATCCTTCCATGTCGGGTGGATCCTGACTGGAACGCCATGGAGAAGACGGTGGAGTGGTTCAGACCGCACCTTAGGGCCCCAGGCCCACAGAAGCGTGTGGAGTACGTGTACGTGCACCGGTTCAGGAAGATGGACAGAGACATGATGATGGAGACGTACATCCAGAGGACGTCTCTGTCAGAAGGACTGAGACATGGAGACGTGTCTCTGAGGATCCACAACGTGAGCTTGGAGGATAACGGGAGGTTTAGATGTTTCATCCCAAACCTGAGCATAGAAGCAGAGGTTCTGCTGGTTGTTGGTGAGGAAACTGCTCCAAACTGCAGGTTCTGGTTGGTTTATTTGGTTCTGGAGAATCTAATGGATCCTGTTGATGTTTCAGACCCAGACTTTGTTAAAATGACGACAGCAGAGACGGTTCCTCAGAGAACCAGTCCAACCCCAGACGAAGAGACCATCAGAACCGGTGAGTCTGCAGGTTGATCCAAAGCTCTTTCAGC